TACGTCTACGGGTTTGCATGAACGCCAAATTGGATGAATAAACAGATGAGTGGGTGGGTGGGTGGGGATTGGAAAAACAAATGAGGAATCGAATCAGTGTCGAGGGTTAACTTTTTCAGGCAGGATGAGGGAGGGAGAGGAAGTCGATGGGTAGTCCTCAAGCGGCAAAGGAACTCACCTTTCGGTATCTCCTCAGCTGCATTTGGCCTGATTTGGCTGTCGCCAGTCTGATTCAGGTGCAGCGTCATATCGGTCTGATCTGACGGTTCCGGTAAGGTTTCATCAAACGTCAAACCTGAGCATGGTTAATATCAAAGTGTGGAGAACGTTAGAGACGCAGTCGAGAATCTCAACGGTAAAAGGCAAAATTCAGTGCCACACGGATTGAACTGCAAAGAGCCGGGTGCGCGCAATGCGTAGACATCAAATTGGCTCGAGTCACAAATTAAGGGCAAAGGGGTTTCCACAGTGACCCCGGGACCGTAAAAAAGCACCCATGATGTAATGATCGGTTCTTCCCACATCCCCACCACTAACTATATAGGAAAATTCCACATAGTGTCATGAATCATGTGTGTGGTGTGGTATTGACACCGTACCGGACGCATACATGCGCAGGCGTAGACGCATAATTAAACGGAAAATCGCGGACGCCAGATGGGTTAGCGGATGGAAATGTGGGCAAAAAACTATTGCATCATTCTGACCTGAGGTAGGTGACAGTAACCCAACCTGAACTGACGCGTCCGGCTGCTCACGCATTATCCCCGGAGACATGACTAAGACGGAAGAGAAGTCGAGGGAAAATGTGTTTGCAAACTGATTTTTATAACTTCGTATGTGTTGACAGAAAAAGCTCAAAAAAAGAAGGAAATCACAAACAAACAATCAAGTACACTAACACCATGGTAGAAACTAATTAACGATGGGAACGAAAACAGGACAAGCCTAAATGTTCCCCAGGCGAAAGAGTTTGGGTTAATGCACAAGCTATTGTTAGGGGCAGTAACTAAAATCAAGACAGTAAGAAATTATGTATGTCAAATGCGTTCTATGTTACGTGCGAACAGCAATCACGCTAGACCTTTGTGCGCAATGTTCTGTGCCTTGTTCCATTTATGACCCGCTAAATACACTCTGCAAAAGTCTCTTACCCTCCCCAGGTTTTGACAATACTTCCAGTTCTACGTGGAACAAAACATGTCTTTTCAGTAGTACTACATTATTCAAGGAAAAAGATTAAAAACCAATTTGTCACTTCTTAGCTTCTATTAAAAAGGAAGCATGCACAAAAATGTGGAATAATACCGCAGCAAAGATATCGTACCCCCAGTCTGATCCTCGTGGGGCTCAATCTGGATGAAGCAAGCTGGTATGACGTAGAGTAATTGTTCCTCTTCGGACCCCGAACGCCTTTTGGAAATACCCTAGACCTAGTTCTCTAGTTCCTACTCGTCAACAGACAAGTGGACCCGATGATTTATATATTCTCGTAATATGGTACAATCTTCAGGTCGAAATATCCGAGTTGCTTTACTGCGGTGCAGTTTGGGCTATGCAGACTCCATCCAACAGCGAACTTGATCTTTTGACTGACATGTTGCTTTCGGTCCTTGTTCGTACCTGGGCGATAGTAGTGACACATGTAGTTATTTCAAATTGAATCTGCTGGTAGCAATCAAGTGGACGCATTTATCCAGCCATGCAACGCGAGTTTCAGCACAAAGGAAACCGGTTGATATTTGAAGGGCTGTCAACGGTATTCTTCATTTAGTTAGTCTTGCACACAATCGGCGGTACTTTCTCTTAGACCTTTTGCACCGTTCAACTACAAAACATTTATTCTAGCGAAAGTCTTTATCTATGCGACGTGACTCATGTAATTGGAGACAAGACATACAAACGGAAGCTCCGGTTTCTCTGATATTGGACTGGGGAGGACCACCTACTACAGTCGCCCTATATATCGCTAAACGGTAGGGTTTGTGCGGTTACGTCCTTTGATTATTTTGCGTGTACTGTTCTCCCTTTGAGGCTTTCTCTCTGTATTACAGTCTTGGAGCAATCCTGAAAAGAACTGGTTAAGTTTAACCAAGAGTGACCCGAAACATGTTGACCTTTTATTCCTTCGATACCAGAGCAAGTTGTTCTGTATGTCGTTAACTGAACGGCCTGATTGTTTGATAGCGGTTTAGCTGCGTTTTGTTTGTCGTTTCAATCACCCCGTTCCTGTATGCACGTATTGGAACCATTAACCTATGAATCAGTCATAGTCTAATTCGGACAAAATTCTGTGGCTTATGGTCCCTTAAATGCTGCTCACACACTACAATCATCTGTCATTGCTGTCAAACATAGTGCGACCCATTTAGATTTTTGGAACAAAATTGCCCCACAATTTGAGATATGATACGTCGCTTGTACACAAGGTTTTCTTCTAATACACAGAAACTACCGATTGTTTTGCTCGCATTTCAACCCAGGGTTTGTAGCTACAAGTTACTCAAACGCTGGCTGCTGTCGCAGACTCTGATCTAGACAGTTATTGCAAAAAAGAATGTAAGACGATGAAGAATGATACATTGAACAGCCCGATACATCTGAATGCGCGATTGAATCCATCGTTGCTGCTTTGTCGGGTGTCACTGGAACATCGACCGATAGGGGTTTTAAAACATCATGGTGATTGTGTTCTAAGCAGTGAAGCAGCTTTTGACTTACTGAAAAGATTGGAAGGATGAAGTTCACAGGAATACCATTGGTTTTAATTTGTGAACAATGCCGAAATACCAACGTTCAGTAAGACCCATAGCGCTATATCCGCATTTAGACGGATATCATATCATAGTCCATCGATGATGATGATGACGATGATGATGATTGATTGATGATGATGATGATGATGATGATGATGATGATGACGATGATGATGAATGAAAACCAAAGGACACCTGGAGACACTGTCCTGCTCATAATTCTGGATCGGAATGAGAACGTATGTGCATGCTAATATGCATACACACTGATGTATCAAATACACCCAACAGATAATGTACACACGTACCTCAGAAACCTTAACTTAAGCAGCCAGTAACTTCCGCTGAATACAAAACTGACGGGCAGAGGAACAAACAACACTTAGACACCACCACGATGACTACTATTGACCAGGGACGCTCAAATAGCACAAACACAATCTGGGTAGAAAATTGCGCTTTCCAGTCAGCGAAACAGAATAAGTGAACCTCGTAGACGCATCGGGAAACGAATGGAGCAAACCACACAACCC